CTGTCAGAGTCTATTGACTTTATGATGGTTTAAGCATGTCTTTGGAAAGGTGACTCTGGCTCAGTTCTTCTTCCTAGATTGTTACACTTCTCCATGGAAGGAATAAATTTCACCTGACCAGGCTTACTGAGGACTAAACCACCAAATTTTAGGTATGCTGGGTGAGGAGGGACCTCAGGACAAAATTAAACAGAGAATTAAAGACCTTAGCAAGCAGGCAGTTTCTTTGACTTGTTTGTAACTTTTTTTTATTTGAAATATTCCCTTTTCCTTCACAGACACTGAATGTTTTCTTACAAATGACTGCTTGGCAGTATATAGGCTCTGTATTAGGACAAACACAATACATATACGTAATATACCTTTTGTAGACTAAATATTATCAATACTTCAAGAAATCTTGGGAAAGTAATATTTCAGTAAGTCCTCCAGGAATATGAAGTTACACAGTTTAATGATAGAACAGCATTGGCAGACATCCCTCCAAATCTTTGCATAGATAACTGCCTAAAAAAATTCTGCACATCGAAAGGTAAGACATACCATATAAAGATCTGCCCAATATTTAGATAAGGAAAAGTGCTTCATTACAAATAAACTTAACATACTTACAGATTGTCTGCATACTCTGAGATAAAATATTCAGTGCTAAAAACTCTACATTAAGTACAAGCTTCCTATTTATGATTTCCTTCATGGTCTATTTGTCATTCTGAATCTAAAAAGAAAACTTATAGTTAATAGGAAAGTTGTAAAAGGAAGCATTATATATTATGCATTTTATATTTTAATTAATATAGATTAACTAGGAAGAGGAAGTATTAGCTGTTTCCTCTTAAGTTATTCATAAAAATAATAAAGACAGAATTAAAACAAATAAACAAATAAATAACATGGAATCTCCTTTGCAGTACATATAATAATAAAATGGTACACATGTGTGTAGGAGTGTAAATGAACATGTTCAGTTCAAACTTTGGAAGGCCTAAAGGTAATTTTTATGTTAATAGCCTTAACAGGGTAAATTTCAAATAGACCAAAAGGATGAGATTCTTTCATAAAATGGAGGTGACCATAGGGAGAAACATTTTATTGCATTCTCCCAGGGTTTTACATTTCATCTGTGTAGAACACCAAGCATTCTGAACTGGGTGAGCTACACATGATAGGTCAGTTCTAATAATAAATTTTTAATGTAAACCATTTGCTTATGAAAAGTATATATTATGAGATGAATTATTTCCAATTTAAAATAGGTGACAAACTATCCTTCAGATAAAGTAGATCTCTTTAAATTGCTTTGCTCTATAGTTTGTCTTTTTTTTTTTTGCAGAATTAAAATCTTTTTATTTACCTTTAACCATATCTTCGAATTTTAGTCAACTCAAGCATTTACTATTTGACCTATTTGGTCCAGATATAACTACCTCTTTTGAAATTCCATAGTGTGGAATAAATATATTTGATGGAATAGAGACTAACTTCTAAGTCAATAATTTATATCTGCATTGAAGGTCAGGATACAGCACAACATCAAAATCATATGATTCCTGCAAAACATTGACTATAGACCTAATGATAAAATATAAATTCATACATTCATTAACAAATGAATCAGCTAATTAAAGAATCTTATAGAATTTTATTTTAGGATTTCCAGAAGAATTATGCTTAGTGTCAATTATGTAAAAAAAGGAATCTATAACAAGAATATAAAAAAAATATATGTTGGGAAATAAAAAAATTCAGAACTATTAGTAAATTCTTAGTTTTTATCCTTCCCATTCAACATATTTGGAAGCACGAGAATAAAAGAAAATAAATGCAAATGTGATTCTTAAAATGCATTTTGCATCTCCTCAATAGATTTGTATGATTGGGTTTGACATCATTTTTCCCAAAGGAAGCAATTAGATATCACAGATATTAAACATACAGTGAACCAGTGTATAAAATAAGTGTCTTCAAATTATTAGGAACTAAAATCAATACAGCAGTTTAAAAGTAAGAATCTATACAAAACAGCAGATAGATTTCTAGAGTCATTTTATAAATTTGTAGCAGCAAAGACTAAGGGATAAATTAAGGAAGAAAATAAGTTACATTTTTATCCATTTCCCTCTCTCCTCTTCCCATACTCCTAAATACACGCATGCAAAATTAGAAATGTAAGCATTATTCTTAGTGAATATAGGAGTGAAGTATTCTAATCAAATTTAAAGTTGGGGCCTCAACATATATTTAGGAATTGATTTTCCATCTTTGATGTTTTGTTATTTTTTTAAACATTGGATTAAAAGACATTTTTTTAAAGTAGGGCAATCAAGCAGGAATTTTACAATGATAAATTCATGTATGTTTCTGGAACAAAACAACATTGTCTGGATGCATTGTTCTCAGCTACACCCTCTTCCAGAAATTTTCTGATCTCCTGAGATCAGGCCTGCTTTGATTACAAAACACATTACATTTTCCACTGGGGTGTGAAACCACTGAAATTGAAAGCAAGAGGAAAAGAAAACTCTCAGCAAATATTTCACTCAGGTAAGTGCAGTAGCTGTTTCCCACATCTTCAACTGATTGAAGGTTCTGATTGAAGGTTCTTTTCAACTTTCTTGAAAGTTAAATATTTGTGCATCATTGAGGAAAAAAACTTTACTTTATACATATGGACATCAAAAGTTTTCTGTTCAATCTGTTCTGTTTTTCATTAAACCTTCAAATATTTGAGCATTGAGGATGGAAATTCTACACAGATGCTACCAATAATTTAATCCTACTTTCCTCAATTTAATAATATTCAGTAGATATGTTGCATTGTAACTTGTCAGGCAGCATACTAATTGGAATTGATGGGAGTTGTGTCTGAAGAATACTGATGGGAGAAACATTACAGGAAATGCAGAGACAGACATGCTAATTTTCTCATTCAATCTATATTTTCTTCTTTAGTCTGCCACCATTCCTTCCACCACCCAGATTTATATTTTCCCTAAAGGAAATCCTAGGTTTTATCTGGAGAAGGAAGAAAGAAAGGGATGGAGGTTTGAATTGCTCTGTTTCTTACAATTATGAACAAAGGAAGGATAATCAAGGTCCTCTAAATATTTGTGATCTCCAGATCACTCAGTTTGCAGACCTCAGAGTCTTCCTAAAAATTTATAAAAGAAATTTGGCCAAATTATTGAATTCTACAGTGGAATTTTCAGAGTAGAGAATGAAAAGGAAATTTATCTAACTGCATTAAGGACACAGTGCCACTGCACAATGATTCAAAATACATTTTTATATCAACTCTAAAATCCTGCGGAGATTTATGTACACATTTTAAAGGTCCTGGAAATTTTTAACAAATTGCATATTTCAGAAGGTTAAAAATTGTTTGCATGTTGGAAAATGAATATATTTGTTTTAATATAAATCATGCAATATTTTTCCCATTTCTAGTCCATTTTACTTGCCGCTTCATTCATATGTCTAGCTGTACAAGCCATTCTATCTTAAATTGTGTCAGTGAATGTTGATGTTCTCTTCTTCACTTGAGGTTTTTACATCATCTGAAAATAAAAATGGAAAATCAGAATGCCACCATGACATCTTTTGCCCTTCTGGGATTTTCATACAGCATTACAATCAATACTTTCCTCTTCTTGGTATTTTTGCTTATGTATATCCTAACCTTATTGGGAAATATCATAATTTTGGTAATCACCAGTCATCTCCAAAGTCCCATGTACTTTTTTATCATGCATCTTGCTTTCATTGATATCTGTTTTTCTTCCATCACTGTGCCAAAGCTGCTGGTGATTTTCTGGGCAGGACAGGCTATTTCTTACTCTGGATGCTTTATTCAGATGTTTTTTGTCTTTGTCACAGGAAGCGCTGAAGATTATGTCCTTGCTGCAATGGCCTATGACCGATATGCTGCCATTTGCAAGCCCCTCCATTATGTTCAAATTGTGAACAAAGCATGTTGTAGGTGGCTAGTGGGTGGAGCATGGGCAATTGGTTTCTTATGTGCCATGATAAATATATTACCTGCTTTGAAATTAGAGTTCTGTGGATCAAATTTCATTAGGGATTTCAGCTGTGAATTTCCATCTGTGCTTGCATTATCTTGCACAGAAACATCCTCCAATTGGATGGCATTTCTGATATCTGGTGGGGCTGTTTCTGGTTGTTCATTGATCATCATTCTTGTCTCCTACATCCATATCATTTCAACTATCTTAAAGTTGAACTCAGCAGAAGCAAAATGGAAAACGTTCTCTACCTGTAGTTCTCACATTATTGTTGTGGTTTTGTATTATGGCACTGCCTGCTTCAGGAATATGAGGCCCAGCTCAGTTTCCTCAATTATTGTTGATGAACTCTTCTCTATTCAATATAAGATTTCAACACCCATGCTGAACCCCCTTATCTACAGCCTGAAAAACAGAGAAGTTAAGGAAACCATTAAAAAATTAATGGGTTACACAACCTTGTAATCCACACACATGCACATGTATAGAGGTGTGTGCACATGCATTTATCTCCTTCTGTATCTATGTATGCAAATACACAAACAATGTACCTCGTTGTCTCTTTCTATCTTTCTGGGTTTGTCTGTCTGTGTAATCTTAAACTGATCGATTGTCAATGTATTTTTTTTGGAAAAAATATTTGAATGCAATGTAAATTTCTTCCCATATCATAGCATTATAGTATTGATGGTGTCGTTGTTAATGTTGTTCAAAATAATAACATATAGTAGAATTAAATCAAATCTTCTCAGCCCTTGGATTTTTTGCATAGAGGAATGTTGGAACTGAAGATGTTTCTCGGATAAGAAGTGAAATGTTTTGAAAGAAAAAAAAAAAGAAAGTCTAATTTCCTTTTGGGAGTAAAAAACCATCCTTGGGACAACATGACTTGGATGATTGAGAATCTTCAAAGAAAAATTGTTTACATGGAATGTTCATATATTTAACCAAGCTCACTTTTTTCCTTACCTCCGATTTCATAAATCTGAGGCTGAAATAATGGGACTTGTTTTAGTACACTTGCTGATATTTATTACAGTGTATTGTATTCTAGAAGCTCAATACTTCAATTCCCATTGCTAATTAATTCCTTGGATATATACACTACTCTCTACATATGAAAGCAAGCATTTAGCTGTATTACTGTTGTAGGAAGCTCCATCTTCATTAGGTCTAATAGCATTTAGTAGCACAATATTTGCAAAGTTATCTTGAAGAAGTTGATTGATTAACTGATCACATTCTACTGAATTCAAGTACCTCCAAGGAACAGTCAGGATTGTATAAAAGCTTTCCATTTTCTGGTCTGTGTCTGGGAATTATTTTGTTTGACATAGTTGATAGTCCATCAAAGCTGGTTTGAGGAACCATTGAATGAATGCAATATTTTTATCAGTAGCTGGCTAATGTAGAGTGTGATTTGAGTCAGGACATTCTTTTCATCTCCATTCAGATGTTTATGATCTTCTGTGCTTTCCCCGTGAGAGAGATCTCTGCAACATATGAGTTTTCTATCTGCCAAACTTTCAACATTTCTGGTCTCCAAGAAATGCACAGTGTGAGAACTCCTTAGAGAAAAGAAATATGCAAAATGATGCAAGGGGGGTAAATATACACTGCTCAAAAAAATAAAGGGAACACAAAAATAAGACATCTTAGATCTGAATGAATGAAATATTCCTATTAAATACTTTGTTCATTACATAGTTGAATGTGCTGACAACAAAATCACAAAAAAATTATCAATGGAAATCAAATTTAGCAACCCATGGGGGTCTGGACTTGGAGTTACACTCAAAATTAAAGTGGAAAAAAAACACTACAGGCTGATCCAATTTGATGTAATGTGCTTAAAACAAGTCAAAATGAGGCTCAGTAGTGTGTGGCCTCTACATACCTGTATGACCTCCCTACAGAGCCTGGGCATGCTCCTGATGAGGTGGCAGATGGTCTCCTGAGGGATCTCCTCTTACACCTGGATTAAAGCATCCCCCAACTCCTGGACAGTCTGTGGTGCAATGTGGTATTGGTGGATGGAGCAAGACATGATGTCCCAGATGTGCTCAATTGGATTCAGGTCTGGGGAAGGGGAGGGCCAGTCCATAGCATCAATGCCTTCATCTTGCAGGAACTGCTGACACACTCCAGCCACATGAGGTCTAGAATTGCTGTGCATTAGGAGGAACCCAGGGCCAACCGCACCAGCATATGGTCTCACAAGGGGTCTGAGGATCTCATCTTGGTACCTAATGGCAATCATGTTACCTCTGGTGAGCACATGGAGGACTGAGCGGCCCCCTAAAGAAATGCCACCCCACACCATTACTGACCCACTGCCAAACCGGTCATGCTGGAGGATATTGCAGGCAGCAGAACATTCTCCACAGCATTTCCAGACCCTGTCACATCTGTCACATGTGCTCAGTGTGAACCTGCTTTCATCTGTGAAGAGCACAGGGTGCCAGTGGTGAATTTGCCAATCTTGGTGTTCTCTGGCAAATGCCAAATGTCCTGCATGGTGTTGGGCTGTAAGCACAACCCCCACCTGTGGACGTCGGGCCCTCATACCACCCTCATGGAGTCTGTTTCTGACCTTTTGAGTAGCCACATGCACATTTGTGGCCCACTGGAGGTCATTTTGCAGGGCTCTGGCAGTGCTCCTCCTGTCCCTCCATGCACAAAGGTGGAGGTAGTGGTCCTGATGCTGGGTTGTTACCCTCCTTCGGCCTCCTCCATATCTCCTGCTATACTGGTCTGTCTCCTGGTAGTGCCTCAACTTTCTGAACTGTGTTAATATCAGATACGTAATGTAGGTTCCAGCCTGATGAGTTGTATTCGAGTATTGGTCTAGCAAATGTTTTGTATGCTCTAGTTAGTAGTATGATATTACCAGAGAAAAAGCTATGTAGGATTAGGTTAACAACTTTTAATTCCTTTTTGGCTATGTAGTTACAATGGGCTACATTTGGATCATTAGAGATGAGTATTCCAAGGATCTTGACGGAGTTTGGGTCATCAACAAGGCCTTGATTATTCAGCTTGTATTTTATTTTCTGATTTTTTTTGCCAATATGTAAGATAGAACATTTATTTGTTGAGATTTGAAGTTGCCATTTGTTTGACCATTCTGATACATAGTCGAGATCTTTTTGAAGGGTAGCAGTATTGTCTGTGGTGGTGACTAGCTTTACATCATCAGCGAAGAGAATGCAGTTGCTCTTAATATGATCACAGAGATCATTTATGTAGAGTATGAAGAGAGTTGGTTCTAGAACACTGCCTTGGGGGACACCACTGTTGACAGGTACAGAATTTGATAGGACACTCCCAATTTTGACCATTTGTTGTCTGTTTGACAGGAATGCTTCTCCTGGGCTTGAAGAACAAGTAGAAGTTTCATAACTTCATATTGTATGCCAATTTGCTGTTCTGTGACTATGATAAAATTGATTGGTTGATTGATTGGTTCATTTATTATATACCAGTTACATGCATCCCTGGACCAACATGTCCTTCTCATGCCCTGATTAAGTACCTCCCATTTAGACTGTTTTAATGAGTTTTATGGGGCTGCATGAGAACAATCATGAATGAAATACAGAATTTTATGCAAATAGAGTTAATGGTACAATGCATTTTCATTTCTACTTAAGGCTTGTATTTTGCATTAATGGTGGAGAGCAAAAATGCACAAATAAATTATGGTTGAAGAACTAAATTTGTTAAAATCACTGATATATTTCACTTTCTCTTCTTCCTCCTCCTCCTTCTCCTTTTTCTCTCCCTCTCCCCACTTCTCATCAGTACATTAAACCTCTATTAAGTTTAATATGCATACTATCATTGCAAGGACCAATTTCCTCACCATACATTAAAAAGTGACCAAAAACCATAAAATCTTTCCTCTAATAACATTATATTGCTGTTATCTTTAGTGGTACCTGGAAAATATATATCCAAAAATCTGTATATGTTGTAATTTCCTGTGGCATATTGCTGTTTAAATGCTGAAATCATGTTCAAATTATTCATCAGCTTTGACAAACTTTTATTAATGTTTTCAGCTATGAATTCCCATCTTCTTTGCCTTATCCTGCACAGGACCTTCTATTCCTAACGTCTGGTAGTTCTGATGCAAGTTCTACATTATTATCCTAGTTTGCTACTTCCATTTCATCTCAGCTATCTTGAAGTTGAACTCAACAGACAGAAATGGTTTTTTTTTTTCTATCTGCAGTTTTCACCTTCAACCACTATCTGGTTTATATATATCAGCCTCCTCAATTATTGTGTATGAATTCTGTTTGTTTCTTCTAAATCCCAGCTAATGCACATTTTGAAAGTAATACAACTTTAGAAAAAAAAAATATGGGACAAATGAGTGTCATTTTCTCCCTTTTGTGTGGATTTGAAAATAGGAAATGTATTGGCCCTAATATACTATAAGTTTTTCTTATAGGTTTTACCCTGGTATTCTGCCCTCTCCTATCTAATATGTGTAATGCATTGTATTATGTAACAAAACATTATTTTTCTTCTTGTTTTGATATTTCTGCAGTATTTGAAATGGAAATGAAAAATCAGAACACCACAGTGACTTTTTTTGTCCTTTGGGGATTTTCATACAATTATCCAGTCAATACTTTCCTTTTCCTGACATTTTTCCTGATGTATGCTTTGCCTTTATTGGGAAATACGATGATTATGATAGTAACAAGTTATTTTCCCAGCCCCATGTATTTTTTTCTAGAACATCTGGCTTTTCTTGACAAGTGTTTGTCTTCTGTTACTGTACTCAAGCTGTTGGTGATTTTTGGGGAGAAAAAGATAATTTCACATTCTGATTGCTTTATTCAGATATTCATTGTCTTTCTTAGAGGAGGCACTGAAGATTGTGTCCTTGCTGCAATGGCTTGTGACTGATATGCTGCCATTTGCAAGCCCCTCCATTATATACAAATTATGAATAAATCATTTTGCAAATGGCTGGTGAGTGGTGCATGGGTAGTTGGTTTTTATGTGCTTTTGTAAATATATTACCTATTTTAAAGCTAGATTTCTGTGGACCAAATTTTATCAAGGATTTCAACTGTGAATTTCCATCTCTACTTGCATTATCCTGCATGGAAACATCCTCCAATTGGATGACATTACTGATATCTGGTAGTTTTGTTGCAAGTTCTTCATTGATTATCAACCTAGTGTCCTATATCTGTATCATCTCAACTATCCTCAAGCTGAATTCAGCAGAAGCAAAAAGGAAAACTTTCTCTACCTATAGTTCTCACCTTATTGTTGTAGTTTTGTATTATGGCACTGCCTGCTTTAGAAACATGAGGCCCAGCTCAGCCTTCTCAATTATTTTGGATGACTTCTTCTCTATTCAGTACAAGATTTCAACACCTATGCTGAATCCACTTATCTACAGCCTGAAAAATACAGAAGTGAAGGAAGTCACAAAAAAA